GGTTATACATGCTAATTTCATTTACTACCATGAAAAAAATATGCAATTTATAGAAAGGTTTTCATTTGATCTACATAATGAAATTAAGTTGCTTTTATTTCCAAATTTAATTTAGTGCATTAAAAAGTTGAGTAATTGACACAAATTTTAGTTTTTCCTTATCTACTTGACAAAATTAAGTTCACTTTACTTGGATGTTATTTTTCATGTAAAGAAATAAGTACTTTAAACAAACAGTCTTGCTTGAACAACATAAAAAATTATGCAAATAGTTGCCTTGATGTTTTTAAGTAGATAGAGCAGATTATTTTTATCCACAGGAAGGTGTGGATGATCAGTTTTGCTGGGTGTCAGCCATCCTGTGATTGGTTAAATAACTGTCCATGTTTTGTTATGGAAAGAGGGTAAATATGTATAATCAAATCAAAAGAAATAAAAATATGGCAGAAAATATGGAATTATACAAAATTCAAAAATCAGTAACAACAAATACAGAAAAAGAAGCAGAAGTTGTGATAATGAGATGTATCTAAATATCTAATGAGGGGATGTAGGGAAACAACATGAGATTTGTTACAATGTGGAGGAAAGAGGCTGAAAGAAAAAGTTAAAAGACAGGAAGAGAATGGAGTTTACAAGAATTATTTTGAGAACAGAGGAAGAAATCTGTCTTTTTAAAATAATTAAAAAACATTACTTTTGCATAACAAACCAAAAAACAAAATTAGTGAGTGGAGGCTGTGATATTACTCATGACCAGCAGGTGGCAGTATGCACCTGTCAGCTCTATCAGAGCAGCCAATAATGAAAAAAAGAATAATTACCTGCAAAATTTTCTTTTCTTGAACATTGACCAAACATGTTGAAGTGTTATTTCTGATCCTATGGTAGAGAAAGCAGAATTCTCTTCAAGGTTTCTATTTTGCATCTTTACGTAATGCTCTCACAAGCCTCTGGACTTTTCCTATATTTATTGAGGTTTTCTGAGTCATATTTTTCTGTAAGGTTTTGCTACCACCTTTGCTTTTCTTTTTGATGTTATTGTAACACTGAGCTCTACAGTGTTTAAGGTGTGCTCTGTAACCAGTTTAGTGCATTCTTCTACATTACCAGTTAGTGTTACCCAGTGACTAGTGTTCTCACAGTTAGCTGTGTTAAAGCACCATCTGATTAAAATAAATGCTTCTTGTTCGGATATATTGTCATTTGTTGTTGTACATATTGGAAAGTTGTCACTCCCTAATGTACTCTCACCCTGT